TATTATTATTATCCCACAAGCCGGGCGTCTGGGTCCCAGTCTTCAGTAAACTTCATGCTCTGGGGGTTAATGGCGCCTGACAGCTGCCGTGTCCGAGTCCTGGCTCCAAACTTCACATTCCTCGCTAGTTAGCAAGCCCGCTGCCCCCCTGCGCAGGCCGGACCGTCTCACCGGCTTCGCGCTGCTGGAACAGTTCGCCGTGCTTTCCTGGGGGACGGCCGCTGCCGTCACCCTGGCTGCGGGCGGTGTGTGCGTGCCCGCGCCAGGTCCCGCCAGTGTTTACTGAAGGCGTGGCGCGCGCACACCGTAGCGGTTTCCACCTGACTGTGTGTTTTGGAGACGGGGGGGGACGGCATTCTCTAAAGGCTGTAAATCCTGCCGTTTGTTCTCTTTACCGGTGCCACTGCGTGCAGGGACTCGGTTTTTGTCTTGGCTCGTGAAAACAGCAGCAGAAGCTGAATTTTCGCCCCCCCTACAGAGCCCCCCCGCCAGATCCAGGGCTCAGCTCACAGGGCTGTGAGTCTGTGCCTGCCGTCGGATGGCGGAGCGCCCCTGTGGGCCCTAGGGTGTGCTCGCAGCTTTGTTTGACAAGGCGTGCGGCCCGTATCGAGGTGCCACCTGTTTGTTTTTTTTCAGCTTCCTCCTCCTTTCATCTCCGTCTGTGTGGCTTTGGTCTCTCTGCTGAGGCTGCACTTGGGCGCTGTCGCCAGGCGCTTCTGCGAGGCGGGGGGCGGGGGGGGGGAGTGAGTTTGTTTGAGGCTGTTCTCTCTGTGACGGGAGGCTGTTCTCTCTGTGACGGGAGGCTGCGGCCTGAAGCAGGAGCCGTTTCTGGTTTCCAGGGCGGGTCGCGGCCTTGAACCCCTCCCCCCCTCACCCCAGCCCTCCGCTGTCTCTCCGCAGGCTCGGTGGGGAGGAACCTGGCCAACAAGCCCAACGTGTACGTGTCCAGCAGCGCGGGGGCAAGGTGGAGAGAGGTGAGCGAGCCGGGCCTCACAGCGCCACCTGCTGGTCAGAGCAGGGATCCCTCCTGTGCAGCTTGGAAACTCGGAAAGCTGCTGCAGTAATAATCCGGGGGCTGGTATAGGAAAGGAAAACTGTGTGTGTTCTGTGATGTGGGTTCTCTGCGGTTCAATAAGTTCAATAATGAGCACCAAGACCAAACAAAAAAACAAAACAACCCCCGAGCCAAAACTTTCAATCTCCTGCTCTCGGCGGAGGCGTCAGCAGTCCTGCCTCCTCGCGGCTCCACCACAGAAACTACAGACAGTGTGTGACCTCCGCGTAGGCGAAATGACCTCAAGATGTGAGATGAAATTAGGTTGTGTAAAAATGGCATTGGTGTTCAGAGCACATAAGTGAAAACCATTCAACGTCGGCCCAGTCGAAATACTAGGACATGGAAAAGAGCTGTGATGGCCAGCAGCCAGACCACCCTGCAGCCCCACTGGAGCCCAGCAGTGTGAGCCTGGCCAGTACCTGGA